AGACATTATCCAGCTAGAAAATGAGTAAGCAATTCAGAGCTGAGGACAGCTTTGAAAGAGTAAGACATCTACTGATGGAAGTGAATTATTGATTATTTAAAAGTCAAATAGGAAATCTTTGTAGTATAAATAGGGGAGGCAATGGTATTATTGTTGGACTGTTAATCCGGAGACCCAGGTAATGTTCTGGGGACCTAGGTTCAAATCCCAATATGGCAGATGGTGGAATTTAAATCCAATAAAAATCTGGAATTAAGAGTCTAATGATGACCACAAAGCCATTGTCAGAGGAAACCCATCTGGTTTCCAAATGCTCTTTTAGAGAAGGAAACTGATATCCTTACCTAGGGCACAGTGGCTCAGCGCTTACCACTGCTGCCCCACAGCAACCAGGTACCCGGGTTCAATTCTAACCTTGCACATTCTCCCCGTGTCTGTGCGGGTTTCCTCCAGGCCCTCCGGTTTCCTCTCACAGTCCAAAGATGTGCAGGTTAGGTGAATTGGCCGTGCTAAATTCCCAATATTGTGCAGGCTAGGTGGATTAGCCATGGGAAATGCAGGGTTAGGTGGAATAGTGTGGGTCTAGATGGGATGCTCTTCGGGGTGGGGAGGGAGATCAGTGTGGACTTGATGGTGCGAATAGCCTGCTTCCATACTGTAGGGATTCTATTCTACCTGGTCTGGACTACATGTGACTCCAGCTCCACAGCAATGTCATTGACTCTTAACTCCCTCTGGGATGGGCCATAAATGTTGGCCCAGACAGTGATGTCCTCATCCCATGAATGAATTTTTAAAAAGCCAACTAAAATAATGTATCGATAATGTTGATTTTAGCTCATTTGTTTCAGTAAACAAAAAGTGACAGTTTAAATCTCCTTGTACAATTCTTCCAATCAGTCACTGGAAATTCAGGTGTCTTTTCTAAAAAAGAGATAACACAGTGTGGAGCTGGAGGAACACAGCAGGCCAGGCAGCATCAGAGGAGCAGGAAAGCTGACATTTTGGGTCGGGACCCTTCTTCAGATTTTTTCTGAAGAAGGGTCCCAGCCCGAAACATCAGCTTTCCTGCCCCTTTGATGCTGCCTGGCCTGGTGTGTTCCTCCAGCTTCACACTGTGTTATCTCTGACTCCAACATCAGCTGTTCTTACTCCCTCTTTTGTAAAAAGTTTTCTGCCTCTACAGGGATTGTAACAATGGTGATGTACAATTTGGTCAATAGCACCATGTGCTATGGGAAAGCCTATGATTCCAGCAAACCCCTGAGTGCTGGCATTATCTGCTTCACTCTGCAGGAAAATAGATAATGGCATCCTTCTTTGCATAACCAAACTCAGCGATTTTCCTTATGCAACCGTTAGTGCACTGGAAACTATGAGATGTTGTTAATATCTCTATCTATAGCTTTGGTAGGGACAGTGACATAATAGTAAAGAAAGGCAGACACTATGTGAGCCACAATGCTGTCCTTCCCCTGTTTTGAGATTGCTGTTCAAGCTATCACAGTGACATGAATATAAACATATGAATTAGGAGCAGGGGTAGGCCATTCAATCCTTCGAGCCTGCTTTTACCGTTCAATAAGATCACAGCTGATCTGTTTTCATTTCAATTCCACGCTCCTATTTCCTCCCCTGCTTAACAAGAATCGATCTACAACAAAAAAAAACAAGGAACTGCAGATGCTGGAAGTCAGAAACAAAAACAAAAATTTGCTGGAAAATCTCAGCAGGTTTGTGGAGTGAAAGCAGAGATAACGTTTCAGCTCCAGTGACACTTCTGAAGAACACCTCCGCCTAGCATTTATTCAGCCTCCACTTCCTTTAGAGGCAGAACATTCCAAAATTGCACAATGAGAAGAAACTCCCCTATATCTCCGTCCTAAAACAGTGACTCCTATTGTTTAAGCTCTACCCTCAGGGCTGACCCACAAGAGGTAACATCCTTCCCAATTCCATCTTGTTAAGATCATACAGGATCTTATACACTTAAAATAAACCACCTCTTCTAAAATCCAGTGAAACAAGCTCAGTCTGTCCAATATTTCCTCATAAGACAACTCACTCATTCCTGTTCTCAATCTAATAAACCTTCTCTGAGCTGCCTGCAATGCATTTACATCCTTCCTTATATAACAAGACCAAAACTGCACACAGTATTTGAGATATGGTCTACCAACACCCTGTATAACCTAGAGCATAGCATCTTTGTTTCCATGTTCAATTTCCCTTGTGATAAAGGATAGCATTCTGTTTGCTTTCCTAATTGCTTCTTGGATCTGCACACTAATATTTTTCTCAAAGCTTATGACACCAGAATTTCAGATATCACCTTATTCCTGACCGCCACTTTGAGAAGCCTCGCTCCAAAGTGTGAATACAGATTGTTTGCTAAAACTCAGCCAAATTTCCGAAACAGACACATTTCATTTCCCTGAATGCTTTACAAGGCTGAAAGATTTTTAAAAGTGAAATAAAAGTGTGGAATGCGGCAAGCTGTTTCACAAAGAAAAAGAAGACCATACACAGGAAGGAAGTACTGGACCGTTGTAAAACTCAGACACATCTCAAGACCATATCATTATAAAGAAATGCTCCTGTGAAACACCTTGGGAAATTGCATTCCATTAAAGGAGCTATATAAATGCAAATTGTTGTTAATATTGCTTTCAGTAAAGAATTCAAAATCTTATTGGGCATTTTGTATTAAAGGGATAATTTATAGAACAATAAGGTCCTGTAAAAGTAACTCACAGGTCTACTTTACAGTAAGGTATAAAAGGTGCTGAATTGTATTATTACTCAGATATCAGAAAGGCATGAGACCTTTAAGAAAGCTAAATGACATCATGACATGTGATGCTTTTGTGCAAGTGGACTCCATCTTATACTCTGTATATTCAGTCAGTTAGTCTGTTGTTAAACAGATAGCCAGAGTGCTGGACAGTCTGCTAGTCAATCTGCTTGTGAGGTTGTTGGACAGTCTATTAGCAAACAGCTAACAAGTCCTGTTAGTCAGTCTGTTAGTCAGTCAGTCTCCTATGCATAAAATGTAATTGCAATGTAAAATAAGTGCGTGATCTAGACTATAGATGCAAGTCTGTGATGCCAAATCAGTGCACAGTTAATTGTTAATAAACTTCTAGATATCTGACTCCATCTGGACTCCATTATCTATGATACATGTTATGTAAGCTAACATAGAAAACTACAGTTCCATTACGAGATGCTGTGAAAGGATACTCGGGGATGCTGCTGATAGACAATTGATCAGTTGCCAATTAAAGCATTGTGTTGATTCACTGCTGAATTGACCATTTGTTCATCTTCATACATGTGAAGTTTTTATTGATTGGTGCTTGAAATTAAATTAAAGAGGTAAGTCTGAGCATGTTCATGTGAACCCCAAGAACAAGGTGTGGCATTAATAATAGGTTCTTACTTGGAATCACTTTGATTTTTAAATATAAGGAATTATTCCTGAAATCTCACTGAGGGCCCTTTCTTCTTTTCTAAATATTCAGAAGTGTGCTTATACATGACTGATTTTTTTTCCATCAGTGAATCACCTGTGGTATTTTCTCATCTATTAACCACTACAGTATATCACCCCTTTTTCTAATTGATTATTTTACATGCAAAAGCCCCATTAAGGGCAATGCAGACCATCAAAGGAGGGAAAGAGAGAGAGAGAGGAAGGGGGCTAAATCAAAATGGAGTTGCAAGGGGAGATAAACCACTGTACTCCCTGATGGTTCCTACCATTCTCGAAAAGCAAAGTTGACTTTAGATACTTTCTAATCAACCTGATCAGAGATGTTGTTGCACACCTCTGGAGTCGACAGGACTTGAACATTTGACTCCTGGCTCAGAGGTAGGGACACTACCACTGTGTCAAAGAGCCCTCACTGAGGGCCCTTCATGCTGATCAATATCATGTTCAGATTTGAGGGGTTCAGGTAGGGGTTAAGTTTGAAAATGTCAGCACAGGAAGAAAAGGTTTTGCGGGCTGTATTATCATTAGAATCTGTGTAGAAAGTGGTAGTGTACATCCTTGCCATATACAGATGGTGCCAATTGTACCTTCTATCAGACATGGCACATACGAATCAAACACCATTGATGAGCACAAAGGAAGCTAAATTATGCCTGACAAGTAGATTCTCAGGAAGCTATTTTCTCCTTTACAGATTGAGCCTACTGCTTTGGGCAGCATGGTGGCTCAGTGATTAGCCTTGCCACCTCACAGCGCAAGTGACCCAGGTTCGATTCCACTCTCAGGCAACCATCTCGGCAGAGTTTATACATTCTTCCCATGTCTGCGTGGGTTTCCTCCCACCATCCAAAGACGTGCAGGTTAGAGTAGATTGGCTATGCTAAATTGTTTGTAGCGTCCAGGGATGTGCAGGTTAGGTGGGTTAGCCATGGGTAATGCAGGGTTACAGGGATAGGGAAGGGGGTGTATTTGGGTGGGAGGATATTTGGAAGGTTGGTGTGGACTCAATGGGCGGAATGGCCTCTTTCACACTGTAGGAATTCTATGATTCTAATCCCTGTGCATCAGTTAGTGGCAGACACTGAAGCACTTTAGAAATCAAAACAAAACAGTATGGATGTTGAGCACCAAAGAACAGAAACTGCTGGCGAAACTCAGCAAGTCTGGCAGTATCAGAGGAGAGAGAAAGAGAGTTTTAATATGTTAAGTCCAATATGACTATTCTTTGGAACTTAGTTACCTGGAAGAGGTAAGTTTTGAAGAGGGATCGTATCAGACTTGAAACATTAGCTCTGTTTCTGCCTCCACAGATGCTGCCAGACCTGCTGAGTTTCTGCAGTACTTCTTGGACTTTTTAAAGTTGTTTCTGAAGTCTGGGAGTAAGTTGTCATGCTGGCTTCACAACAAGTACAGCAAATGTTGAAATGCACAAATTGAGATTGAGTTGTGTATACATTTTGTGCTGGGAAAGGTTGAAGTGAGAGAACTTTTGGAATGAGGTTACCTCAGCATTTCCATTACACTTTGAAATCCAAGTGTTTTGAATGTTCAATGCCATATCTTCACCGTGGCTTCTGGTCAAAGCCTCTTTCTGCACATTCTGCTGTGATTTAAAGCTTCCCTGAAAAGAATTGGAAAACACCTGACAAGAGCCAGACAAAGACAGGTCTTACATTTGAACAGCACCAAATCACATTGACACATCAAATTGGTTCATTGGGTTGAATTAATGGAAACATAAATGGATTGTTGTAATTGAGGTAAAAGAAACAGTGGCTCTGCGCCAGCTACAGTGAGACAAGAAATGGGGGCCCCTGTAATTTTTAGTGGTGGGAGGAATGTTAATCAGCAGTTTCTGCCCTGCTTAAGAGTGGAAACATGGGATCGTTTCCATCCCACCGAGCCTTTGCAAGATGAGGCTTCAGTTAAGTAAAAGCAGCATCAGCAAGGCAGGGATCATTAGACAGTCAGAGCTCCATCGCTTGGAATGTGGATTCAAATAATAGTCTGCCAAACCAGTGATAAAAGTGCGGCTGAGTGAATCAAACAGGCACATGATGCATTAGTGTGCTCGGTTTGAGATTCGTGTTACCTTGTTCAAATTTCTCCCTCCCCGTCCTCCTCTGTGTGGTCAATGTTGAGATAATATAAATGACGCTGTTTTGAAAGGAGTGTAAGAACCAGGAGACCAGGGATTTGACTGAAACTTTTTGTTTTAAGTGTGGCAGGGCAATGTCAAGGTGCTTGGAAGCTAACAGATTGGATCCGTAATCTTATGACCAAAAGAACATCAGTATAATTGAAAACAGGCAAGTTATGTTAAATCTTTTTAAATCACTTATGAGGCCTCCACCAGAGTATTATAACCAGTTCTGAGCACCACACTTTAACAAGAATCCCAACGCTTTAGAGGGAATGTAGAGCAGAAAAATTAAAATATTCTATGGGATAAGGGATTTAAGTTACATAAACAGACTACAAAGCTAAAGTTGTTCACTATGGAGCAGAGCAGGTTATGGAGAAATTTAATAAAATGTTCAAAACTCTGTTTGTTTTGATACAATAAATGGTAAAAAGTCAGTCAGACTGAGTTATTTCAGTTTGTGATGGTTAGAACATTTTTGCCAGTAGCTTACACCAGGGGATTGAATCAGTAATCGAAAAGGAAAGATTTCCATGATTCTGGAGAAAGATCAAAGGGATGAGGTTAATTGGATAATTCTTTTGAAGACTGGCTGAGACAGGTTCTGATGAATGGCCTCTTTCTGTGCTTTGTGAGTCTGAGATTCTAACAGGGTTGTCCCTGCCATCCCATTGACCTAACAAGAATCTGTTGTTCATGGAACTGGTCCCATCATTTCAAGGATACAGTCATGTGACCTCTCCTGTTCCATACTTTGGAACATGGACAAGCTGTGTGGGACACCATTAATGCACAAAGCACTGTGCTCAGCTTCATATGTCTATACCTCTGCAGCACTCAATGCATTGTGAATTTACTCATTTTTCTCCTGTGTAAACTGTGGCCATTATGGTGCTCAGTTGATATCTGTTTATTCAACAGATATTGGGGATAAAATCTGAGGCTTCACAGTTTATATCACTGACTCAGTGGGCTAAGCTCTCTGAACACCTTATTAGTGTCATTTTGGGTTCGGGTACACAACTAGTACCAGTCAGCCAGTATTTAGCTATACTTTTCACACCTCACTCGAGTCTGTGCGTGCAGGTAGCAAATTCCCCACAAAACAGTAGTTGATTTTAGTCAACAATGAATTTGATAGACTGTTGATAGACAAGGGTGTCAGAAATTATTGAGGTGGATGGGAAATTGGAGTTGAGAGCACAAACAGATCAGCCTTGATATTAATGAATGGCAGAGCAGGCTTAAAGGGTCAAATAGTGGAGGTAATGGTCTAGTGGTATTATCGCTGACTGTTAATCCTGAGACCCAGACAATGTTCTGGGGTCCTGGCTTTGAATCCTGCCACAGCAGATGGATTTGAATTCAATAAAAATCAAGAATTACGAGTCCAATGATGACCATGAATTCGTTGTTGATTATTGGAAAAACCCATCTGGTTCACCCATGTACTTTAGGGAAAAAAATCTGCCATCCTTACCAAGTCTGGCCTACATGTGACTCCAGACCCACAGCAATATAGTTGATTGTTAATTCCCCTCTGGGTAATGAGGAATGGGCAATAAATGCAGGCCTAGCCAGTGATCTCAAATGAAGAAAAATAAATGGCCTAGCTCCTTTCTTAAGTCCAAGAAGGGGAAAGGTTACTTAAATAAATTTGTTCCTGGAGGCTAGGTATTGCAAATTTGGTCCTCAGTCGGGGTGAGACTGTAAGCCTCTAACAGGTTCAATGTTTTTTAGCTTGTTTGAGTGAGAGCAGGCATTGCAAGAATGATGAACAAATCATGATTAACACCTTAAAAAAACCAAAAGAACTGCAGATGCTGTAAATCAGGAACAAAAACAAAGTTGCTGGAAAAGCTCAGCAGGTCTGGCAGCATCTGTGAAGGAGAAAACAGTTAACGTTTCCGGTCCAGTGACCCTGTTCTGATGAATAGCACCTTGATGTATCGAGTGATTTGAATGGGTGGAATGAAAAAGGAAGGTGGTAGTATTAGGGAACAATTTAGTTGGGGTGGTGGCGTTGTGTGGGGAAATGCTGTTGTCTATGAATGAGAGCAGAGTTCTGATGGTTGTGTTGTCTGACAAGATTTCAGCGTGTTACTTAGGGCTAGACAGGAGCTTGGAATAATAGGACAAGATTCCAGCTGTTTTGGTCCATATGGGCATCAATTACATTGGTTGTGCTAAGAAAGTGGTTCTGCTGAGAGAGAATGAGCAGCCAGGGACTCAATCAAAAGGCAGAACCACAAAGATATTTATCCATAGAATACTAACTTAGCAATGTAAATTAACATAAGGTAAATAAGATTAAAGTGTTGAGTGTGTGGCTCAACAAATGGTGTATGATGAATGGGTTTAAACTAAAATGTATTGCCACCAATACTGGGGACAGGGAAAGCTGCACTGTTGGCATAACTTTCTCTTCAGCCACACTGAGGATCAGTATATTGATGAATTATATAAAAGGTGTTGTGTGTGGTGGGGGGAGGCTTTAAGCTAATAGTGAAGGGAAGGAATAAAGTGAGGGGATATTTGGAATGTTAGAGAAAGGAAAATGCCATAGTGTAAAATATCAATGCAAATATTGATTACCAAACTGTGATAAGAGGGGAAAGAGTGTGCAGACATTTGAGATCAAATAAAAATGGTCAGAGTGGGGTAAAATGATTTTAAAATTGACAGAGCAAATAGAAATAAATGAGCATGCTATTACAAAGAAGTGGTTGCAAAGTGACCAAGGCTTAGACCTGTGTATTCAAGGTTTTTGATATTCATTATTTAGGAGCAAAGTGATATGGATAGAAAGCAGGAATATGGCATTGAGTTAGATGATCCACCATGGTCACACTGAATAGTGGAGCAGACCCAGAAGGCTGAATGGCCTACTCTTGTTCCCAGTTTCTCTGCTTCTATGTGAAGGAAAAGGAAGTGGATTAGCTCTATTATTCAAGGATAAGATTTGCAGCCTCTAGTTGTGGCAGAATGTCTGTGGTTGTGGCACAATAGTTAGGGTGATGGGTTAGAGATCCATTGGGGTTTCCCCAAAGGTTCCGATCCTGCCGACTATATTTCCTTGTTAAATGTTTTAAGGCAAAGGTAGATTTTTGAACAGTAAAGGAATTAAGGGTTATGGTGAGCGGATGGGTAAGTGGAGCTGAGTCCATGAAAAAAATCAGCCAGGATATTATTGAATGTCGAATCAGGCTCGACGAGCCAAATAGCCTACTCCTGCTCCTATTTCTTATGTTATCAGTACAGCAGTGAGAAATGATTTTGGTTCAGAAGATCAAGATGTAGAATCAGATTAGATGGAGATAAGTAGCAAAGGAACAAAGTCACTGGTGGGGCTAATTTGCCATTCCACCAACAGTCATGCTTTATTACAGTTTATTGTGGATTGTAAGAAGAGTACTGCAATAATCATGGGTGATTTTAATCTTTATTTAGATTAGATGGATTCAGTTAACAAAAGTAGGCTAATTCTTATAGTATAATGAGGACAGTTTCTTCAAACAAAACATTCTGGAATCTACCAGGCAGCTGATAGACAGACTAATTAATGAGCTCATAGTAAAGGATTTTCTAGGTAAGAGTTATCATAACATGGTAGAATTTTAATTTGATGGATTATGAATAAAATTATTGTCTTGTAAATAAAGCTAATTAAAAGGGGACACAGACATAGTTGACCAAAGTAGAATGGGCAAAGGTAGGACAGCAACAGCAAACATTTAAGGAGATATTTTATAACTCTCAACAATCATACATTCCATTGAGAAATAAAAAGGAAAAAGGATGCATTGTCTACAGCTAACTCAGGAAGATAGGGAGGTGTCATTTTAAAGCAAAAGTTGTACAATTCTGTAAATATTAGTGATACACTAGAAGATTGAAAGTTTTAGAACACAGCAAAGGATGACTAAAAAAATGTGAGAAATTAGTGTACAAGAGAAAACAAGCAATAAATATAAAAGCAGATTCTAAAATCTTCCACAGGCACATAAAAAGGATGAGAGTAGCTAAAGTAAATGATAGTCAATTAGACGATCAGATTGGCAAGTTGATGAGGAACAAGGAAATGACAGAGACTTTGGAAGATTATTTTGTACCTGCCTTCACACTAGCCAAAACTAGAAGCATTCCAAACATTGTAGAAAATCCGTTGCAAAACGTTGACAATCCCTGAAGCTGACCTACATCCTAAGATCTTCCTGGAAGTGGCTGCAAAGATAGTGAAGTGGTCTTCTTGAATGGTATAGGATTCCAAGGAAGCTTGTGAAAGTAAATGTCATCATCAGAATCCTATATCTTTCAATAAGATCACCCCTCACTCTCTTAAACTTCAAGAGCATAGGTTTAACCAGCTCAAGTATGATTGGCAGAGCAGGCTCTATAGGCTGAACGGACTCCTCCTCCTCATATTTCTTATCATCTTTATATTCAGTCTTCCAGTGCTTTGTGGGTCTCACAAATTCTTCGATATAAAATGACTAAAGGAAGTTTTCATTTGATCGTAGGGTAAGGGCATTGCGGGCATTTATTGCCCACTCCTAACTTTCCCATGGGCAATGAGGAGTAAACCACATTCTATGAGTCTGGAGTCTTATGGAGGTCAAACCAGGTAAGGATGGCAGATTTCCTTTTCTAAAGGACATTAATCAACCAGATGGGTTTTTACAACAATCAATTGTGGTTACATGGTCACTATTAAATCAGTTTTTGTTCCGTATCCTATATTTTTATTGAATTCAAATTTTGCTATTCGCCCTGGTGGGATTTTCACTTAGAACCCAGGAAAGGGGCCTGGGGTTCTGCATTACAGTCTGGTGACATTACCATTATGCCTCCACCTCCCAGTGGTTTTGTGTATTTTTCACAATACAGCATTAATCATGTAAGGTTAACACTTACAGAAGAGGCCATTCTGCCCACTGTGCCTGTCCCAAGTCTTTGGAAGGGCCATCCAGCTGGTCCCACACCCCTTTTCTTTCAGACGAAACCTGCAAATTGTCCTCTCCAAAGACCCAACCAATTCCCTTTAGAATGCTCGCTTTGACTATCCTTCCAGGCAGTGCATTTCAGATGACTGCAACACAACTTAGGGAAATTCTCTCCTCATCTTCCCTCTTGTTCTTTTTTTGTCAGTTACCCTAAATTCATGTCCTCTGGTAACTGGTCCTTCTGCTACAGGAAACAGCTTTTCCCTGTGTATATTGGAACACTTTATATTTGCGAACATTACTTTATGTTCCTTTAACCTGCTCTCCTTTAAGGAAAAAAGTCCCTATATCTCTAGTCTTTTGCCCTGCAATACTGCAGCACGGATGGTCAAGTGGAGAGTAGCCACCGGGTGACATCTCCTTTGTTAGCCATCCTCAGGTTTAATCCCCATTGGCTAAATATATGGGAGGGATATGGGCCAGGAGCAGGCAGGTGGGATTAGTTTAGGTTGGAATTATGTTCGACATGGACTAGTTGGACTGAAGGGTCCGTTTCCATGCTGTATGACTCTATGACTCTACAGAGTGGAACTGTTGCATTCCTAGAAATTGCAAAAGGAAACATCTTCAGTGCTTCCTGAATTAATATTAGGTTACAGGCTTATAATCGTAATGAAAAACATAATGTAGATTATAGGAGGAGAGCAGAGGGAGCCAGATAAACCACAGCACATGAAGAGAGAGATTTGGACTGGGAGATGGAGCCATGAGTCTTGGTTGAAACACAATGAGTTCACACGGGGGAGGCTGTGTTGGATGAAGGAGGGGATAAAGGAAGAAACGTTAAGGAAGCAGTGGCAATAATAGTTTCTGCACAATTTTACGAAATCCAAGAAATCTACAGAACACATATCACTATCTGCTAGGTGGAGTGCTAACAATTAGCTAACAACAACTTGCATTAGATAGCGCCTTTGAGGAGTGATTGGCAAATAAAATCTGCAAGCCACATAAAGAGATCATGATTCACTCGACCAAAACCTTGGGAAAAATGGTGGATTTTAAGGATAATCCTGAAGCAAAGATGGATGGGTAGAGAGGCGGAGAGGTTTAGGAAGGGATTTCCAGAGTTTGGGGTCCAGGCACCTTCAGGTGTGGCCACCAATACTGGAGCAATAAAACCAGGAGATCAGATATCTTGAACGGCTGTAGTGATGGGGGAAGGTTAGAGAGCTAGGGAGAGATTTAAACATGCGAATGAAATTTTAAAATCAAATTTAAGATGGTGCTGCTATCTGGGAAGCATTGTTTAAGGAGAATAAGGAGAAACAAACTAGGGAAAGGCAACTCAAGACAAACAAAGCTCAAAGGGAAGAATTGACAGAACAAATCATCAGAAGGAGTGATTACCTGAGTCGGGTGATTCTCACTGAACGGTGTGGATTGAGAGTTGGGGATATAGCTAGCCAATGGGGAACAACTTCCCTGCTGGCTTATTTCAGACAAGAAAGAAGAGTTGATGTGTGGTGTTGAGGAAATCCACAGCTTGCTAAATAAATAAAAGAACATGTTAGAATCTCAGCTGCAGCCAATGGTCTAGTCAGTTTGACCACCTGAATATCTACAATTATAGCATTCTGTTTGACGATTGGGCTAGCCAGGCTAAAGAAGTTTCCTCAGAGCCGCAGATGCTCTGAGAAAGTTTAAACCAGTTGGTTTAAAATGTGTTATCCAGAGTGAGCAGTCTGGATTACTTTTTACTTTCTCTCGTTGCACCCAGGCTGCTTACATTCTGCCCCGAAGTATAAACACAATGTTGATGGATCACATCACGGGCATCTAGAGACCAAAGATATCAGCTCAGAAAAAGAGATAAACAAATTAAACCAGTTTAATGAATCACAATGAGGTTTATTTGCATTATGAAGTGGTTTTTTATGTTCCCCGTCACATTAGAAACCTGACAACACTTGGCATGATACGTTTCTACTCATCCCCAGAATGTTTACCATTTTGCCCAAGGAGCTGTTCTGTACTTCTGAATCTGAATCTGGATGATGAGTGTTGGAAAGCCTTCCAGCTCAGTACACATTGGTCACCAGTTGTGCCTATCAGCCTCACTGGATACGGATCAGAAGCAGGAATGCCACCCCTTCCCAATAGTGGGAAGACAGGGACATGTTGTAAAACCCAGCTGCTGCCATATCTGGCGTCAAGAAGGACAACACAAATGGGAACCCAGGCTGGTGTCTTTCTGATTTATATTTTTCTGTAACAAACATAGAATACAGAATATAGAGCAGTACAGCACAGGAACAGGCCCTTCAGCCCACCATTTCTGTGCAGACCATAATGCCATTGGAAACTAATGCCATCTGCCTGCACGTGGTCTGTATCCTTCTTCATGCGTTTGGTTAAATCTCAAATGTTACTATTGTATCTGCTTCTACCATTTCCCAAGGCAGTGCATTCCAGACACCTACTACCCTCTGTGTAGAGAAAACCTACCTCGCCCCCATCATAGAATCCCTACAGTGTGGAAGCAGGCAATCCCACCCATTGAGTCCACACCAACCCTCCAAAGAGCATCCTACCCAGACCCACACACCCTAACCTACCCCTGTAACCCTGCATTTCCCATGGTTAAACAACAAAGCCTGCACATCCCTGGACACTATGGGTAAATTAGCCTGGCCAATCCATCTAACGTGTACATCTAAGGACTGTGGGAAGAAACCCACGCAGACACGGGGAGAACGTGCAAACTCCACACAGACAGTAGCCTGAGGGTAGAATCAAACCCGGGTCCCTGGCGCTGTGAGGCAGTCATGCGAACCACTGAGCCATCATGGTAACGTTGCTTGATTAGTAATTCAAAGTCTCCAACTAATGTTCTGGGGAACATGGGTTTGAATCCCACCATGTTGATGGCGAAATTTGAATTCTATAAAAACCCGGAATTAAAAGCTAGTCTAACAGCAACCAGGTAAGCATTGTTATTTATTGTAAATACCCATCTGGTTCATTATTGCCCTTTAGGGAGGAAGTCTGCCATCTTTACTTGGTATGGCCTACATGTGACTCCAGACCCACAGCAAGGTGGTCGACTCAGAAGTGGCCGAGCACACTACTTAGTTCAAGGGCAGTTAGGGATCAGCTACAAATGTTGGCCTTGTCAGTAACACCCACATCCTATAAATGAAAAAAAAAACTTGTGATTTACATGAATCTCCTTATACTTCAGGGAGACCTTTGGGAAAAGAGTTCCAGGATTTTAATCTAGTGACAGTGGATGTCTCAGAGCAGATTTTTCTGCAGATGTCAAGCGTGCCACCTGCTGGCTGGAGGGCCAGTGAGAGGCTGATGCTGCCTTTGCCAGGCAAGGCCCACTGACCCACAAGCCAAACAGGCACTGGCAAGACCACCAGTTGGAATCAAGACCCTGACAACAGAAATACAATCTCCCACTCCACCCCTAGTAAAATCTGTTAGCCAGTCAAGGAATGGCGGCTCTTCAGCTCAGCAGTGCCACAGAAGATGTGATGACTGCTGCAGGAAATGTGACCTACAGGACCAGGAGGACAAGGGACAGAGTGTTTTGGGGTCTTAAGGGCTTCAATGGGCAGTTGGGTGCCAAAGTTGACTATGGGCCTCAGCGACCAGAACTTAATGTTGGCAGAGGCGAGAAAGAAGGGAGAGGTTTGGTTTTGCCACAATCAAGTTGAATTATATGTCATTCCCACTCTCCAGTCCCATCATCCCTAGGAGCAGAAGACCATCTGTATCTCCAAGTCAAGATGGTGGCTTGGAGGGGCACAGTCATACTGTGGTGTCTGCTAACCTTGTTCTTCCAGATGGTACAGAGTGCGGGTTTAGATGGCGCTGTTGATGACTTGCTGCAGTGCATCCTGTAGATGGCACACACCGTACGTTGGTGATGGAGGGTGTGAATGTTTAAGGAATAGCTAAGGATGGCAGATTTCCATTCCTAAAAGACAAAACTGAATCAAATGAGTGTCATTATTTTCTTCATTTTTGTAACTTTGATTTGATTAATTTTGCTGAGTCTCTGTCCCTGATTTAATCATGCTTTTCTTTGGGATTTCTGACTTCCCCGCAAATGTCAATACTACTTGTCAGCCTGGTAAGATATTCAACTAACACCCCAAGAGCCTCAAGGCATTAAAGATTGCAGAGATCTTGGTGTTCAAAAAGTAAGAGAATAACAAAAGTAAATACGGACCCTTTGGGGATTAGACCGGAAGAATTATTATGGGTAAAAATCAAAATATTTTGTTAACTGTTTTCACAGTAGAAGACACAAAATCATAGAATCAGAATCCCTACAGTGCAGAAAGAGTCCATTTGTCCCATCGAGTCTACATCAAACCTCCCTGAAGAGCATCCCACCCAGACCTATCACCCCAGCCTATCCCCACATTTACTATGGCTAATCCACATAACCTGCACATTCCTGGACACTACAGGACATGGACAGGAACATGGGTAGGAAAGATTTAGAGGGGTATATACATGAATGGGAAAGGTTTGGAGGGATATGGGTCAGGAGCAGGCAGGTGGGACTAGTTTAGTTTGGGATTATGTTCAGAATGCACTGGTTGGACCGAATGGTCTGTTTCCGTGCTCTAGAACTTTATGACTCTATGACTATGATATGGGCCAAATGCAGCCAAATGAGACTGGCTCAGTTTAGGAAATATGGTTGGCATGGATGAGTTGGACCGAAGGGCCTGTTTCTGTGCTGTATGACTCTATTACTCTGTCTCAATGGACCTATTGGGAGCTTTCCTGGTTTTCCAGCTAATATCCTATCATTCACATTTTCCCCATTCGGGTCATTACAGCAGCCCACACCTGACTTCAGCTGGTGCCCAAATTTCCAACAAGCACCAAAGTCAAACGTTCTATAGGCAGCAATGTAGCATTGTAAGGCTTCTAATGCAAACATCCACCAGCAGTTCATTTGAAGATAAGGGAACATGCAACGCGGCACCAACCTTCTGGAGTCAAATGTTTGCTGTTCATTTTTTAGAGACCGTAGTTTTACAGCAAAGGCTCCCAGCAGTGTGAGGAATAGGAAAAGAATGAGCAAGCATGCCCCAATCAATATACATGTGAGCTGAATCTCCGTAAGAACTGATTGACAGCGCTGTCCTTTGTACCAAGTGTGTTCCTTCTCACTGCACCTAGTCGCAAAGGGAAAGAGTTAGAAGAATGGGCATGAATGATGGGCATCTGAAAACAATGAAACAACGGTGTGATTTAAAGATTTAATTAGATTAGACTGGACTGCATTGGATAGAACTGGGTTGAATGTGATTGAAATAGACTGAACTAGGCAAGAGTGGACTAGATTGGACTAGATTGGATGGGTCTGGCAAGATTAGATGAGGGTGGATTGGATCAAGTTAGGCAGGATTAGGTTAGGTTTTCTGGGAAGCCCAAGACCTCCCATTTTACTTTATTTTCCCATTATTGCAGACAGAGGTCAGGAACATTGGAATGTTATTATTACTAGTAAAACAGTGTGACAGTTTCATTAATTAAGTCAAAAACCCAAAGACTTATGGATGCTGGAAATCAGAAACAACATCAGAAATTGCTGGAAGAACTTAGCAACAGAATTGCTTCATTCTGATGAAGGGTCACTGAACCCAAAACATTAACTCTGCTTTCTCTCCACAGATGCTGCCAGACCTGTTGAGTTCTTCCAGCAATTTCTGATTTTGTCACTAGCTAGGTCAGCATTTATGTGCAATTCATGTTGGTCTAACCAGTTACATTCACATCCCATGGATAATGAAAGGAAACTAAATTCCCAACCAGCCTGTGGAAATAGGGAATGAATGAAGGGCAGAGAGAAAGTCGTGGGTGATCAGTTTCAGATTATTGGGATTGTGATAATGTCTATGGCTTCAGGAACAGGACAGTGTTTATTTTGAAACAAAGTTGAGTATTCAGAAGAGTTTCATACCTGCAAAACACGCCAATGTTTTCGATGACTCCGCATTTACCTCCATTCAAACAGTAATCGGGAATCACTTCACATACAGACAAACAGGAGTTGTTTTCACGGATATATCCTGGATTACAAACAATCCAGGAATCATTTGAGCTCTGATCTGTATTTGGCTCAGGGACCATTGCTGGTTTGATTGGCCAATGGCCATTTGATATCTTTCGTGTTCTGGTTGATGTTCTCTCTGGAACTGTCTTATTGTTGTTCTCCCTCCTGCTGTCTACCAACAGCCCATCTGTTGAAGACATGGACTCTTGGAAACTGATGATGGATTTTGTTGGGGTGGTAGAGTCCTGTGCTGGCCAAGGATTTAATGTGTGAAGTGTAGTCAAGCTGTTTTCTGGTTGATTTTCTTTGGTAGCAGGAGTTACCAAGCTTTTGTATCTTTCAGTGATTCCTTCAATTTCCGACCCGATTATCCTTTGGGATTCAGGGTCAGTTCCATTACGATCAGGCAGCTGTTCACGCATGTCACCACTTCCCTCTGTTGCCTCATTGAAAGTGGGAACAAAAGGACCATTTGAGAGAAACCTAGAATTTAAATTTGGGCCTTTCATATCCTGAGGAGATGAGTTTGAAATGCTCAGAAATCCAGGGTCTGGTGTAGCATCAACAGCACAGCCGTTGGATATGAATGTGTCAGAGTTCCCAACCTCATTATATTCTTTGTCTCCATTTCCATAGGGATCTTGTGGAACAGGGTCAGGTAAGATCCTAGTTATGTCGAGAATGGCATCTCTGTTCCCGGCTTGTGATTTGTGAACGGCTAAGGTTTCAAACTGAGGACTTTCGTCAAAAACAATTGGTTCTTCCAAGTAGAGATGGTCAACGACAGCAGGGTTGGGCATGTACTGAGAATGGACAGACTCATAGGTCACACCTGGTGAGTGTTCTGCAGACTGCTGCCCTCCACTGTAGGAGACCCTGTCACCAGAGGCTCCAATACCTGTTCAAAATGACAGCATCAAATACAGGTGGTATGTCCACAGATCCTGTGTTTTATCTCAAACATAACAAGTGGCTTGGGGGTGGGTCATAACCAGGCTTTTGACTTGACTGGTTGGGATTTTGCATTTGCGGGCATAACATGTGACTGTGTGACCATGTGACAGCAGGATAAAGATTTGGGGAGAGGACAGGGGACTCGCAGTTTGAGTATTGCTCCTTAGGAAGGCCAGCATGGAGCCAATTAATCCAATAGTCTTCTCTTGTGCTGTAATAATTCTACAACTCCGTGGTGACATTTGCCTCCAGTTTTTAAATCATTTGAGTCACTGTGAGAACCTCGTCACAATGTGGCTGAAAAACTTTCATTCTGGAAACTGTTCCACCCTTTGAAACTCTGGCCCTGAAACTTTCATGGGTAGCAAATGACATCAGTTGGCTTTCTGCCAGGGGAGGGTACCCACAGTATAAGCTGCAATATTGCTTCCCTCTCCTGTATTCCACAGTTTTTACAAAAAGCCTGGCAGAGTTAGAAATGCTCCAAGTTGATTGAGAGCAGACAATGCTAATTGGACTTGTATTTAATGGCTGGGTCCTCCTCCTTTCCCTCAGGGATCTGGGGGGGAGGGTGTTGCACACAGCGGTCCCATATAACTACAGATTGTGTGGGTAACGGACTCCCAGCCCACCTGTCTGTTTTGCAGCGCTGTGGAGTCTATAGCCCATGTGTATATTAGTTATGGGTGTTTGCACTCTCTTTTCAGTTATTTGAAGAAACTTTTCCTATGTTTTCGGCTGCACTTCAGCCTCACGCTCCTGATCTTTGGGTACCCAGCACAGAAGGGGGGAGGGGGTGAGGAGAGGGTGGGCAGATTGGAGGATCTCCTCATGGGTCTGCTCCTGGGCCTGGCCAGGCTAGATATAAACAGGAACAGGCAATGGGCCATGGAGGGGGCCATTTCTGCCCATTGCCTGCCCCTCTTCTGCAGTTGTGTTCATGCCTGGGTGTCCTGGGAGAGGGAGCAGTGGTGTTTATAAATGCTCTCGATTCCTTCAGGGAGAGGTGGGCACTGCGGTGGGGGGGGTTGGTTGAGGGGGTGGGGGGGTTGTGATCAAGTGCTTTATTCCCCCCTCCAACTCCATTTTGATTTAGCACCGTTCTGCTTTCTCTAACCCTCCCTCACCTTTGCTGGTTCACATTACCCACAATGGGCCTCGTTTGGAAATACCCAATTGGAGTTCTGGTGACAGGTGATAGTTAAAAACAAAAAAAAGCCAGGGTGATTTAGTGGTGGGAAGGCCATTTGGTTCGATGTAAGAGCACTTCCAGATATAAAAAAGGAAATAAAAGAGCTGAGTTCTTCCAGTTCCATTTTTCTTTAGCGCTCTCCCCCACCTTTGGAACTATCACATTGTCCAGAATGGACTCTGCATATAACCTGAGAGAAACCTGAGCCATTTAATGGTAGTGATTAATAGATAAATAATTGCCAAGGGTGATTTGGTGATGGGAAATAAAATGCTCAGTTGTTTATAAGAGCTCTTCTGAATATAAAAATAAGAGTTGGGTTCTTCCCCATTGGGAAGTTAGCTTGAGGACAGGGAAACGGTCCAGAAGGGAAGAATGGAAACTGATGTTTGTGCTAAACTGTAGATCGGCAATAAAACCGTTGTAAATCTCAGAAAGTCCTTTGCTGTCTAATTCAACATATGGATTTTAATGAATAAAAGCCAAACATTACCTCAGTCAGGATTGAATGGGTTAGTATGTAATGACCACATTCATAAGGTATTATAATAGCAAGAGTGGTGGAAATGTGCCCTTCACCTCAAATATCAAACAGCTACCGATTTTAAAATTGTTGCTTAGCGTATCTCCCAATTCACAACTCACCAGTCCCACACGAGAAGACGATTTAGTTTTGATGAATAGTGCACCTTCTGTCTCCTCGTTGAGAAGTTTGCAGTAACAGTGTCCCCTCTCTGACTGCCTGGTTCAGTCTGTGGGTTACCTATCACTCGTATCTCTGCTGATTCACCCAGCTTGCAACCAGTGACATTAGTCAGCACAACAGAAAATGGGATGGGCAATTGGAAACAGAGGTTAATAACACAGCTTGGAAAAACTGTACCCCAAGGTGCTGAAGTCAGGGAATAAGTTGCCAAACAGACATTTGTTGTTGGTTTGGTGGAGTTTTGGAGTTAAGTACAGAAAATTGAGTAAATGATTCACCCAAAACCTCAAAAAGCAATCACAATGTAACAGCAGAACTTCTGACCACTCTGTGTGTGTGTGTGTGTGTGTGTGCTCGAGAGAGAGAATCAGTGTGTATCTCTGTCTGAGACTTTGTGTATATCTGTGTGTGTGTGTGTGTGTGTGTGAGAGAGAGAGATACACATACGCTGATTCTGTCTCTCATACACACACACACACAGAATCTTTCTCTCTATATCTCTGTGTGAGACTTTGTATATATCTGTGAGTGTGTGTGAGAGAGAGAGAAAGAGTCAGTGTGTGTGTATGTGTGTGTGAGAGAGAATCAGTGTGTGTGAGTATCTCTGTGTGAGACTTTGTATATATCCGTGTGTGTGTGTGGGAGAGAGAGAGAAAGAAAAAGAATCTGTGTGTGTGTGTGTGAGAGAGAGAGAGAAAAAGAGTCAGCATATTTGTGTGTGTGTGTGAGAGAGAGCGAGAGAAAGAGTCAGTTTGTATGAGAGAGTCAGTGTGTGCGAGTATCTCTGTATGAGACTTTGTGTGTGTGTGTGTGTGAGAGAGAGAGAGAGAGAGAGAGAGAAAAAGAGTCAGTGTGTTTGTGTGTGTGTGAGAGACAGATTGAGAGAAAGAGTCAGTTTGTATGATAGAGTCAGTGTGTGTGAGTATCTCTGTATGAGACTTTGTGTATATCTGTGTGTGTGAGAGAGAAAGAGTCAGTGTGTGTGAGAGAGAGAGAAAAAGAATCAGTGTATGTGTGTGTGTACGTGTGTGTGTGCGCGCGTGCGCATGCACCTGGGGACATGGGTTTGAATCTCTCCATGGCAGATGATGAAATTTGATTTCAATAAAATAAACCTGGAATTAAATCTAGCCCATTGGCAGCCCCTGTTGAATGTTGTAAAAACCCATCCTTACCTAATCTGGCCTATATAAGACTCCAGACCCACAGCAATGTAATAGACACCTAACTGCGCTCTGAAATGGTCCTATCAAACAACTGGATGGGCAATTAGGGATGGATAATAAATGCTGGCTCAGCAAGAGATACCGACATCCCTTTTTTTTATATTCATATGTGGGACATGAGTTTTGTTGGCCGGCCAGCATTTACTGCCCATCCCTAGTTGCCCTTGAGATGGTGGTGGTGAGCTTTCTTCTTGAACCACTTCAGTCCATGTGCTGTAGGTAGATCCACAATGTCCTTGGGTGGAATTCCAAGATTTTGATCCAGTGACAGTGACAGAGCAACAATATATTTCCATGTCAGGACGGTGAGTGGCTTGGAGGGGAATTGCAGGGGGTGGTTTTCCCATGTAGCTTCTGCCCTTGTCCTTCTAGATGGAAGTGGTCATGGATTTGGAAGATGATAGCTAGAGAGCATTGGTGAATTTCTGCAGTGCATCTTGTAGATAGTACACACTGCTGCTACTGAGTGTTAGTGGTGGAGGGAGTGGATGCTTGTAGACGTGGTGCCAATCAAGCGGGCTGCTTTGGCCTGGAAGCTTCTTGAGTGTTGTTAGAGCTGAACCCATCCAGGCAAGTGGTGAGTATTTAATCAGATTCCTGACTTGTGCCTTGTAGATGGCGGACAGGCTTTGGGGAGTCAGGAGGTGAGTTACTCGCCACAGTATTCCTATACTTTGACCTGCTCTTGTAGCCACTGTGTTTATGTGGTAAGTCCAATTGAGTTTCTGGGTAAATGATAATCCCTAGGATGTTGATAGTGGGAGTATCAGTGATGGTAACACTACTGAATCTAAAGCAGCAGTGATTAGATTGTCTCTCATTGGAGATTGTCATTGCCTGGGATTTGTGTGGCACGAATGTTAGTTGCCACTTGTCAGCCTGGATATTGTCCACATCATGTTACTTTTGAACATGGACTGCCTCAGTGTTTAAGGAGTCGCGAATGGTGCTGAACATTGTGTGCAATTACTAACAAACATCCCCACTTCTGATCATATCATGGAAGGAAGGTCATTGAAACAGCTGAAGATGATTTGGCCTGGAATTTTTTTTTTTAAACAATGCCTTGTCTGTCTGTCTTATGGGTGTCTGTGTTGCCTGTTTGGTGAACATTTGGGGTATGCCTAAATGGTGTGTATGTACCTCTGTGAGAATTACTGTCTGCATTCAACTTTGTCCCTGGCACTTCACAAGGGATTTAAGAAGGTTGAGCTGTGATCTTTGTGATGGACAGGATATTGTGTCAGAAACTCAGCTCAGCATCAAATAGGACAGTGAGTTTCAGACAGTGCAGTCCAGTTTGAGATTGTGCATTCCAATCCTGGGTCAGTTGGTGACTAAGCCTGTGGTGGGATTGAAAGACATACCTTCAATTTTCCCGATGTTAAGGCAGACTGAATGTCAAACAGCCTGATGGTACAAAAAGATCAAGAGAGGTAAAATTGGATGGTAAAGGGGGTACATGTTGTTGAGCCATCTTGCACATGTTCAGAGGATGGGCATCATTTGGGGGAGGAAGCAAAGAAGGTTAAGGGGTCTTCAAGGATTATATTTCTGGGGTTGTGAAGAGAAACCATTACTGGAGATGTTCTGGCTGAAATTAGATCATAAGATCATTCAGCCCGTTGAGTCTGATCCACCATTCGATCATGGTTGATGTTTCTCAACCTCATTCTCCTTCCTTCTCTCTGCAACCTTTGATCCCCTTTTTAATCAAGAGCCTATCTATCTCTGTCTCACATTTCATTTTCTCCCCACTTAGTGCTTTTTGTTGTCCTTTGCTGGTTTTTAAAGACTTCCTAATTCTGTGGCTATCTACT